GGTTGTATTAGTTATATCCACCACCCGTCTGTGAGTTTGGTATACTGTAGTGGCTTGTGTGTTGCAATGATGCTGAAAGCTATGTCACTGGTATTTCAAATACCAGCAGGGTCACCCATGGTGGACAGGTCTCAGCAAAGCTTCCAGACTAAGACAGACGAGGAAGAAAGGCCTGATAGGTTACTTCCAAAAATTAGCTAATGAAAACCTATTAGATCACAACAGAATATTATCTGATACAGTGCTGGAAGATGAGCCCTCTAGGTTAGAAGGCACTCAAAATATACAGTGGCCACAAGAGCGGACTCAAACATATCAATGATCATGAAGATGGCAAGGATTGGCCAGTATTTCATATTATTATACATAAGCTCACCATGACTTGGAGCTGACTCAACAGCACCTAACAACAACATTAGTTATATATCGTTGTATCACAAATCACCTCAAAACTTAGTGTTTTTGTTTTTTTAGGGAAGAACGTGATCTTATTGAATTAATTTAAAATATTAGAATATCATAATGATATAGTTTTTCCCCTTTGTGTACTTTCTAAGAAGATTCCTGCCCGTTGGCTTTCTAATACTAATAAGGATAAGAGCAGAACTAGAGGAAGCCTGTGCTGGTTCTTAAGTCATTGTCTCTCTGTTCTGAACTTACCCTTCTATACTCTGCTTTGTGATATTGGTGCCGGACTCTGCAAACCACATTGCTGCTTTGCCAGCTGCTCCCTGTTAGGCTCTGTCACTGAGGGGCATGCGAGGGAGATCGCAAGGCTGAATGTGGTGTAGTGAATTCCTTAACATGGCCCTTCTAGCCATAGTCTTTGTAACTCCCACCAAATGACTGGGTGAGACTATGCAGATGAGATGCTTGTGGCCCACCAAGGGGATTGGTTAGCTTGCTAATAATGTAAATATGGTGCATGACACGCTTGTGGGGGTGGGACCATGCAAATAAGGAGTATGGAACCCTCACGAGAGGATTGGTTGGTTTTGCCACCCTGCTAGGCTTAAAAGAGAGCCAGTCCCAGAGCAGAGGGGGACCTGACTACCACCAAGAAGAAGAGCTAGGAGTGGAGTGTGTCCTTTGGACTGGGGATCCTTGTGCTGAGAACCTCCTAGACTCAGGAGACAGGGAGAGAGAGCTGTAACACCGGAGACAGCAAGTGACAGTGAGAAGCAGCGGCAGAGAAACTGCAGCAGCAGAGGCAGCAGAAGCAGGAGACCAGCAGGAGACAGCGTGGTGGGCTTCTTGGCCCACAGAACAAGGCAGTTACAGTGGGTGTGCTGACCGTGGAGTGAGAGACCCGAGCGCCTTTGGGCCGAGGCTTACTGGTGGAGTGTGGTGCCTCCAGGCACTTAACTAAAAGAGCTTTGTAACACTTGCTTGAGCAGGCAGAGGCTGGGCCGGCCCAAGAGGCCCAGGAGACTGAGGGGCCGAGGGCCAGAGAGAGGCCTGCCTGCTGCATGGCTGAGAAAAGGCTGTCCTGATCAAAGCACTGTATCCTCAGTCGTTTCTGATTCTGAATTGTAACCTGTTAACTTCCCTAATAAACACCATAATCGTAGGTATTGTCTGTGAGTTCTATGTGGCCATTGCAACGAATTATCGAATCCAGCAGAGAAGTAGAGAGTGTTGTGGGAGGGACGGCTGGTGTCAGAATTGCTAAAAAGGCTGGAGAGGGGAGGTATGTCTGACCTCCACCTCATAGGAATCAGCCCTGGGCTGTTAATCTTGATTCTCCTTTCCCCTTGTGAAGTTAGAGGAAGTCAGACGCCTCTGCCACGTCATTTTCATACGGAAGGAAGAGCAGTCTCTTTACCGTTTCCCGGGGGGCAGAACCTATGAGCATCACTTCAGAATAGCTTCTTCACCCTGCAGCAGTAGGTCTTTCCCACAGCAGCAGCTGAAACCAGTTTGTAGCTTCTCCTACACTTGCTGAACCAGCTTCATCCTGCCCCCCACCCAGAAACACCAGCACCAGCTCTATAGAGCCCCTATCCTAGTTTCTAAAAGCTTAGTGCTTTAAAACAATGACATCTGTCGTCACACAGTTCCTGTGGGTTGGGTCAGGAATCTGGACACGGCTCAGCCGGGTTCTCTGACTCAGGGTCTCTCACAAAGCTGCAATCAAGGTGTCAGTCAGGGCCACAGTCATCTTAAGGTTCAGCTGGGGAAGGACCCAATTCTAAGCTCAGCTGGTGGCTGTTGGCAGAACTTGGGTCATTGGGGACTGTTGGATGGAGGACCTCAGTTTCTTGCTGCTGACTGGCCAGAGCCCATCCTCAGTTCCTTGTCACACGGACCTTTCCATCGGTCAGCTCACAATTTAGCAACTTGCTTCATCAGAGCTAGCAAGGTAAGAAGAACCAGAGAGAAAATGCTAGCGAGACAGAAGTTAATCTTTTGTAACTGAATCTCAGAAGTGACATCCTATCACCTTTGCTGTATTCTATTATTAATTGCATATCACCAGGTCCAGCACATACTCAAAAGGCAAGGGATTACACAAAGGTGTGAATCTAGGAGGTGGGGATCCTTGGGGACCATCTTAGAAGTCCGCCTATCACAGCAGTCATGTCTCCTTAGTCTCTTCGAATCTGGAACAGCGACATCATTGGTGGTCCAGTGGTAGAATTCTCACCTTCCACGCAGGACACCTGGGCTTGATTCCTGGCCAGTGCACCTCATGCACAGCCGCCACCAGTCTGTCAATGGAGGCTTGTGCGGTGCTATGATGCTGAAAAGGTTTCGGCGGAGTTCCAGACTAAGATAGGCTAGGATGATCTACTTCTGAAAATGAGCTGACGAAAACTCTATTGATCACAATGGTCTGATCTGCAGCCAATCATGAGGATGGCACAGGACAGGGCAGCATTTGTTCCACTGTGCATGGGGTCGCCTTGAGTCACAGCCAACTCCATGGCAGCTAACAGCAACAACAGTCTGGAACAGTTTCTTAGCTTTGTCTTTCATGGCATTGGCATTTTAAGTATTACAGGCCAGTTGTTTTGTAAATGTCCCCCAGCTTGGGTTTGGGTTTGTCTGATGTTTCCTCATGATTAGATCCAGGTTATACATTTCTTGGCAGGAATACTATATATACAATATCGTGTCCTTGGTGCATCACTAAACCAAAAAAGAAAACAAACCCAAACCTGTTGCCATTGAGTCGATTCATAGTGACCCTATAGGACAGAGTAGAACTACTCCATAAGGTTTCTAACGAGCGGCTGGTGGATTCGAACTGCCACCCTTTTGGTTAGCAGCCAGGCTCTTAACCATTGTGCCACCAGGGCTCCTTGGTGCATCATGTCAGAGGGCAAATGATGTTGTTTTGTCCCATTATTGGTGACATTAACTTGGATTGCTTGGTTACAATGGTACTCAAGCTCCCACATTCTTAACTACTCTGCAATTCTGCCTCTGGCCTGGAAAGTTCTTTAAATCTTTAAAAAGAAGGCTAAAAAATGAGACCAATTCTCTTGACCGAGCACCTTTCCCTCCACCTCTTTCAAGGAGCCCTGGTGGCAGAGTGGTTAAGTGCCAGGCCTGGACTAGACCCAGATAACGAAAAGGGACCTCTCACTCCCACTACCTGGCTCCTGGGAAAGCCAGGGTCACGGTCAATTCCATTCCGCTCCTTGATTCCTGTCCAAGGCAAGCACTTGGAGGACATCTGTTGTCTCTGTTTCTTATCTATAAATGTTCAGAATGACAGAGAGAGACTAAGTGAAGACGTTGAGCTTTTCATTTTATTTATTTATTTATTTATGTTCCTACTTCTTTACAGGAAACGATGCATTGCATCTAAACCTTACACTATCCCACAGAATGTCAGGGCCACTGCCTTAGAGGGGTCTGAGTTGGCTCCTGCCGCTAAGTGCCGGCAAGTCCCATGAGGAGGTCTGGTTCAAAAGCCATCCCAGGACACGGGCAACACTAGCACTCGGGCAAACAGAAGGCCCGGTTCGTGCTCCATCTCTGAGCCCTTCCCCAGGCTCCTCGCGAAGCCAACCTGGATACCCAGAATCAGGCTGCCTAGCCAGTCCGCTGCCTCCTGCGCGGGAGGCGACAGGGACTCCACGCGCGCGGGACTCCCCGTCGGGACCCTACTTCCTTCCCGCTTTCCCGGTCTCACTTTAAGCAGGTCCTGGGCTGTAGGCGCGAGAAGACCGAGAAGGGCTGGTGGGTGACCTGTCACCGCTCAGGGAGGGGCGCTGTGATCTTTCGAAGCCTGGGGGACCGTCACTTACCCCAGAGTGGGCAGGAAGATCCTCCCCCCGCGCAGGGTCGGCAGGGAGCCCGCGCAGTCAGTGGGGTCCCTCTGGGGATGGGTGGAATGGGGGCCGGTAACGGCCTGGGCGGGGAGGCTTTGGCAGTGTGAAGCCGCGGGGATCTCGGTGCAGCTTCTCCCTCACCCAGGGCCCTGGAGCTCCTCCTCACATCGCCGGGGGGAGAGGCTGGGGGACCCGAGCGACCCGAACGGAGTCCCGGGGGAGGGGCAGGCTGAGGTGCTGCGCCCGGAACAAAGGCCCACAGAGGGGTCCAGGCGAGCGCGGCTCCCCGGGGGCGGGGGCGGCTCCCCTCCTACCCTCTGCTCCTCCCCCTGCTCCCCTCCCTCCACCGAGTGGCCGGGCCGGCTTGGAGCCCGAGCTGCGCCAACTTCGCCAACCGGTCCCAAGTTGGCGGGCGCGCTGGAGGTGGAAGCTGGGTGGGGTGAGGAGGAGGAGGAGGAGGAGGAGCAGGAGGGCTCCCGGGCGCCTTGGCTGCGGTTCAGGAATCCGCTGTAGCCGCTGCGGGCCGCTCGCTGGCTCGGGCCGGAGCAGGAGGACGCCAGGCAGGACCGCTCGCTCGCTCGCCGGCTCGCTTGCAGCGCAGGACGGCGCCCGCTAGGCGCCGATTCCCGCCGGGCGTGCAGACCGGCCGGCCCGCGCCTCTCTCCCTCCCTCCCCGCCACCGCCCCCTGGGGGCGCCGAGCCCGGACCGCAAGGGAGCCGGAGCCCCGGAGCCGTTTCTGCCGGGATCTTCCGAGAGGAGGGAGAAGTTGCGAGCGGATGCTGCCAGCGCCGGAGCCCATCCGCGGAGAGTCGGACCCGCCCCGGCCGGAGGAGGCTCGGAGGCCGGGGTAAGTAGGGCGGCGGCGCCGGAACCGCCTCCCAGACGGCAGAGGAGGCCGCCTGGCCGCGCGGCCCCGGCCTTCGCAGTTCGCGCTCGCGCGCCAAACTTTGGAGGGAGAAGGGGGCAAAGCGGAGTGTGAGAGAGGGAGTTCCCGGCTCGGGGAGACCCCACGCAGGCACCCACAGACCTGCTGCACCCAGATTCACAACTGCCAGGTACACACAACTCATCAACACTCAATCCACAGCCACACAGCGCACGAGTTCTGGGCACAAGCCACGCCGACCATGCATACGCCACATACGGAAATTTAAGTTACTGAGAACGTGGGCGGGGGGGGGGGAGGTGGTGCCGATCTTCAAACCAGACACTGACTCGTGCCCCTCACATCAACCCAAGGTCTTTGTCGCCTTCTGCCGCAGCACTCCCCCAACCCCAGTGAGAGGGAGCCCCCAAAGCGCGACGGTCTTTGGGAAGTCGTGGCTGGGACCCCGAGGCCGAGGAGTGGGGATGGGGAAGCAGACTTTGCAGTCGGTTGTCGGGGTTCAGCAGGAGTGCATTTGGTGGGGGGAAACTCGTGTCTGGGTGATGTGACAGGGTGTGCGCAGCCCTTCCGGAGGCGAGGCCAGGAGTGATTCATAAAGTCAGACCCAGCGTGCTGAAGTCTGTCAGCAGAGGGAAAAGGCTGGCGGGCCGGCGCGGCGCTGGGCAGCTGGGCAGCCGGGCAGCTGGCTGGTGGCAGTGACACGGCCTCTGGGAAAGCCAAGACCCTTCCCCCCAGCGGATATGTTTCCTCCTAGGGACTTCCCGACTGGGCAAGGTGAGGAGATTCCAGCCCTGGGTGTGGATATGTGCGGGGTGGGGTGTGTTTCAGACTCAGAGTTATGGAGAAACCCCCGCAGGTTCTCTGAAGCCTTATTTATTTTCCTTGCACCCGAAGTTGTGTTTGGTTTCTGATGCTGTGGTATCCTGGGGGAGCCCAAGGATGTTCCAAGGATTTTCCTGAGCTTAGCACAGTTCCTAGCACTTAGTGGATACTCAGTAAATCATTGGTTGATGAATAACCCACTTTACTGCTAACCAAAAGGTTGGAGGTTCAAGTCCATCTGGAGGCACCTTGGAAGGAAGGCCTGGCGGTCTACTTCAGATAAATCAGTCATTGAAAACCCTATGGAGCACAGTTCTACTCTGTCACACATGGGGTCGCCGTGAGTCAGAACTGACTTGACAGATAACTGGTAAAGCACAATGCCTGGCACATAGTGGATACTCAATAAATCGTTGTTTGATGAATAATGAGACCACTGATTAATATTTATTATGGACTCACTGTGAGCCAAGCTCAGTGGACCTGAGCTGAGTTGGAATCAGTCTTCTTGCAGAGGAGGGGGTCCCGAGTGTCTCCAGGGAGCTCTGCCTGATCTGTTTGGGGAAGTAGCCCAAGCATGCCACTGTGCCCTGTATGCTGGCATCAGGGACTTGAGTCTCATCATTGGCCTCTGACCCCCTAAGAGGGGCAACAGGAAAAGCTCTATTTCCTGTCTGGTTAAGTTAGGGTAGAGTAGGGTTTCTGTGGATGGGATCTGTAGCTTGCAGGCATCTTGGGTATCAATTTGGGGTCTCAAAAGAGGAGTGAGTGTCAGTATCAGAGACAACTCAGAGACAGCCATCTGGTGTGCCTCGGGCCTGCCACATCCCCGCATGGTTCAGAGAAGACTAGATCCCTCTGTAGGAAAGTCCCAGGATCGCACCTTCTGAGAGAGAGCTCCTGCCTAGGGGCCACCCTTTCCTCCCATCTGCAGATTTAGAGAATAACTTCAGACCTACAGCAGGGAGAGGGTTCCATTCCATCAACCCTCCCATCTCCTAGCTGCAGGGAAGAGGGGCTGGTAAGCGGGAGAAGGAGCTGGGCCAGGCTGGTGGGCATGTGCAGGGGTACCTGGATCATGGGAGCAGGTGGAATTGAAGGTCACCTGCTTTCCTTCCTGGCTCCTGCTGGCCTGGCTGGAGATGGGTCTCATGAAAGGTCTAGGAGCTGTGTCTTCTGGCAGCATCTTGGCTCCATGGTTGTGGTGGCAGCAGGTGGAGGGGTGGTTACACACAGTCCCTGCATTGAGCCCTGGTGTGGGTTCTTCTGTGCCAGCTGGCATGAGCTTCCCAGAGGATCAGAAACATCCCATGCCCTGTAACTGGGATCCCAAGCAGTCTTGGGAATGATACCTGGCTGCTGTGGGAGAGAAAGCGTGCAAGGATGTGGGGGCGGCCTAGGCATGTAATGGCAAAGAAATGTGTCATTCCCCACCCCTAGCCCCTCGTGAAGAACTCTGATTAGGTTCACTGTACTTCTCAAGCTTCTAAATGGCCTTACTGTGAAAATAAGCAAAGCATACGGGCAGTGTCAAGGACTGTGGCTCAAGAATGAGAGGGGGTGGTCTGGGCTTAGCCAGTTGCCATCAAGTCGATTCCGACTCATGGTGACCCCATGCGTGTCAGAGTAGAACTGTGCTCCATAGGGTTTTCAATGGCTGATATTTTGGAAGTAGATCACCAGGCCTTTCTTCTGAGGCACATCTGGGTGGACTCAAACCTCCAACCTTACCGTTAGCAGCTAAGCATGTTAACCTTTTGCATCAGCCAGAGACTCCAGTCTGGGTTTGGCCACCCCTAAAATCAGGTTGAACTCTACAGCCAGTCCCTTTCCCATCACCTTTCTACCTTAATTTTGCCTTCTGTGAATCACAGTCTCTGCATATATTATCTCATTAAGCCCCTGCATCCCTATGAGGTTCATGCTTGTCTCCATTTTACAGATTAGGAAACTGAGGCTCAGAAAAGTTAAGTAACCTTTTAAAAAAATTTTTTTATTGTTGTAGTTTAAATGAAGTTTACATTTCAAGTTAGTCTCCCATACAAAAATTTATACATACATTGTTATGGGACCCTAATTGCTCTCCCCATACTGTGACAGCACACTCCTCCTTTCCACCCCAGAGTCCCCATGTCCATTCAACTAGCTCCTGACCCTCTCTGCCTTCCCATCTCACCTCCTGATAGAAGCTGCCCGTTTAGTCTCTTGTATCTACTTGAACTAAGAGTCACAGTCCTCACAAATATCACTTTATGTCCCACAGTCCAGTCCAATCCCTATCTGAAGAGTTGACCTCGGAAATTGTTTTAGTTCTGGGCTGATAGAGAATCCGGGGGCCATGCTTTCTGGGGTTCCTCCAGTCTCAGTCAGACCATTAAGTCTGGTCTGCAGAAAAGGTAAGCAACTTTTTCAAGGTCACATAGTTGGTGAGGGACAAAGCCAGGATCTGAACCTGGGCAGTGTGACTCAGGAACTCCCTGCTGTCTCTGTCATGCTAGGCTGTCTCAAGGTCCCTCCTGGTTTCCCATGGCAACAAGGAAACAGCACTGATTCCACTTACTGACATGGAGGTTGTTTTATAGGTGGACCACAGTCCTCTTTTTCCACAGACCCTGCCCAGCCTGGGTTACAGCATGGCTGTGCCGTCAATGGCTGGGTGGCCCCAGGTTCTGGAGGCTTCTAGTGGCTCAGGAGTCAGTAAACAATCAGGGGAGGGCAGCTCAGAGATGACTGCAGGGAGATGCAGCAATAAGTCAGGTGAGAGATCTCTGCTTATCCAAGAAGTGGGGGTGCAAGTGTCAGTTGTGGTCACCCCTTGGGTGTGGGAGAAATTGCCAGGTAAACTAAAACATTCTCAAATAGATTATCATACTCCCTTCTCTTTCGAGCCCTGCCCTCAACTGCCACCTCCTGTTGTCACTTACCTGGTGAATATAAACGGCCACATCATAGCAGTCCTTCCCCGGGCCCCATCCCAGTGTCTGACCCTTGGAGGTGCTTGGGAACCTCGTCAGATGATGGATGAAGCCTGGGGAGGGTCCGTGAGTGCCTTTGATGGAAAGTCAGAGGAAAGCAAGGAGCGGAAGGAAGCTCACCGCGAGGAAACAGATTCAGACAGGTCTCCATGAAGTTATGCAGGAGGACAGGACCGTTCTTCTCATTCGTTAAATAGAAGTGATGCTGGGGCCCTTGTCTTCTCTGATGGCTAAAGAGACAGTAAAGGCAGTGCTTGCCTGCGCTGAGCCTGCGGGTCCCATGGCTGGCTGTGGAGTTTGTGCTGTGCTGGAAGGGGAACACAGTTCAGCCTTGTCTCTCCATCACCCCAAGTCAGCCTGGTCATTCCTGGCCCCCTGCCAGGTGGAGGGACAGGGCCAAGAGAGCCCCCGACGATGACCACAGACACACTGCTAACCTCACGTCTCCCCCCAGCCCTCCCTTTCCACGCACCCCAGCCTGTTCACAAAGGTGGCTTGTGTGCTAAGGGACTGCGGGTTTCTCTGGGCCCTGGGAAATCTATCACTGGGGCGCGGGAAGGCTCTCTGAAAGGGATTTGGAGGAAAAGTGTGGAAAATAAATATGCCAGTTCTCAGTTCAGCCTCTCCTGAACTCCACAGTAAACAACCACCTCAGAAACCAGCCTGGGAGGCGATTTGGCCTCTGTAGTTACACCTGGCTCCCTAGCTGCCCTCCTCCCTCTGTCCAGCTCCTTCCCGCCTAGCCCCTCCTCTTTGACTTTGGAGCCTCTAGCAGGGAACAACCCGCCCACCACCAGTCCTTGTCCTCCTGGGGCAGGTGGACCAGAGGAGCATGTGGGAGAAAAGACTGGTCCCCTGGGTGTTCCATCCCAGCCCTACTCGCCCTGGGTGAGTCTTTGAGCCCTGGCCCAGCTGGGAGTGGTAAAGGTGGTCCATCCGATAATTGGAGACCTGGAGGCGCAGTGGTTAAGAACTCAGGCTACTAAGCAAACAGTTGGCAGTTCGAATCCACCAGCTGCTTCTTGGAAACCCTATGAGGTAGTTCTACTCTGTCCTATAGGGTCGCTATGAGTCGGAATCGACTCGGCGGCAACGGGTTTGGTTTTGGTTTTGGTTTCCGTTGGTTGGTGAATTTGAGTTTGATGGTGGAGAACCGTGGACCTT